CCCTCTGTTACTCTCAACCCTGCAATAAGGTTATGACAACATTAAAAAAAATGTTTTAAGTTTTTAAAAATCCTCTATCAAGTCCAAAAAGTAGGTATATTTTCAGGCCACATTATAATAAAACTATAAATGAACAAGAGTCAACAGAAAAGTCCATCTCCTCAGAGTTAAAAGCATTCTCCTAGGTATTGACCAAATCAAGGAAGAAATAAAAATAGGAAAAAAATGATTATTAAGAAATAATGAAAATCAGAAAACTGTACATTAATATATCAGTACATTTAAAACTGTATTTAGAGTGAAATTAGTAACTTAAATCCTTTAATTACTTTTTTAAAATCACCAGAAATTAAATATTCAAGTCAAGATCTGAAGAGAAACTCTTAAGGAAAGCAAAAGTTAGAAAACAACGAAAATGACAGCAGAAAGAAAAGGGAAACAGCTCTCTGGAAAGTCAATAGATAGAAAACTATGGAAAGCTACATTAAAGAAACAGAAAACATAAAGGAATAAAGTTGAAAATGAGAAAAGCGTGATAAGAATGACTAGGAAGAGAATGGTTAAATTATAAAAGACTATTAAATACAACTGTATATTAACTGAAAATTTCAACCAAAGTAGAACTCTTCCAGGAAATTGTTTTTAAATGGCTCAATAAGAACCAGGATATCTAAACAGACCAATAAGCAAAGAAGAAAAGTCCAGAAATTCTAAAGCAATTATGCTCCAAAGGGCTGCAGGCTGGGCGAGTGAGTTCTTTCAGGTTCCCAAACAATTCCTAATCCCCACGTGATGTAAGTGAGGTTGGAAGCCTGGAAACATGAAAAGATGCTTGATTAAGGTTATGAATTGTCACAATTCTGACAGCCGATTCCTGCAGTGTAGCCACAGCCCAGACTCAGCAGGAGCAGAGTCCAGAGACTCAGCCAAGCCACAGCCAGGAGCCTCGGGGTCTCCCAGCGGAGCGGCAACAAGACCCCACAGACCAGCCACAGAAGCAGCTGAGGGCACCTCCTCCCATGCTGAAATGAGGTCACCAAAATTGAACAAAATGAGCCATTTCTCAATTTTTTGTTCCTTAAAAGTAAGGACCAGAAGGACTCTTCCCCAGCACCCAGACTGCATGTCCCCCCCGGGCAGGAAGGGCTGTAACTGCCTACTGCCTATCAGGAGGACTAGGGGGCAGGCTGCCAAAGCCAGGGGTCTGAGAGTTCTGAGGAATAAAGACAAGAGTAGTAAGTACCCGTGCTGTCCATCTCACGTAATGCACTAGTTTGTGAGCAGTGCAATCGTAGACAGGATGCATGGACAACACAAACAACTTAGGAAGTGGCCGGACATAGGATATAGGACGGATGTTTACAAATCAACAGCTTCCCAAACATCAACACTGACGACTCTAAAATACAATGGAAAAAGAAATCTCATCCATAATTGGAACAAATAGCGGAAAGTGCTCCAGGAATAAACTTACTAATAAATGTGAAAGATTTGTATGTGAGAAATAGCTAAAGAGACTTGAAGAAACTGAGAGCAAAAATAACTTAATATAACTGCAATGGATGTAATCATCCCCGGGGTATACGGAAAAATAAATGGACAAAAATCCATTAAAAATGTAGCAAAAAGAAATAAGGTGAAAAAAATTACACCTGCTTTCTGAGTCAGCGATTCTACTTTTAGGAAACACATCCTAAGGCAATAACTCTAAACATGAGTTCTTTTTGCTGTGTTATTCACCTCCTGGTAAGAAAGAACTGTAATTTCAAACACGAGGGGAAGAGTTCGTTAAATTGTGGTTCATCTGATTTTTGCAGTATTACACAGCCATTGAAAAACACACTTATAACAACGCAGAAGTAACCGTACCGTGATGTTAAAGGGAAAGAGGCAGCGAGCCTTCTGTAGAGAAGACTCAAACACTGTCTACAACCGTCTTGCCCTCCACCCAGAACAAGGAGCCCTGAGAACTGACAGGCCTGGCTCTGTGATGGGCCACAGATGTTTCGATAAACCAAACAGATCCCCATATATACAAGTGAATAGCCATCAAAAATTTCAGGGAGAATGGGGCCAGCCCGGTGGCACAGTGGTTAAGTTCACACACTCCACTTCAGCGGCCTGTGGTTCGCTGGTTCGGATCCCGGGTGCGGACCTACACACCACTTGTCAAGCCATGCCGTGGCAGCATCCCATGTATAAAGTAAAGGAGGATGGGCATGGATGCTAGCTCAGGGCCAGTGTTCCTCAGCAAAAACAGGAGGATTGGCAGCAGATGTTAGCTCAGGGCTAATCTTCCTCTCCAAAAAGAAATTTTCAGGGAGAAACCCAAGAAAATGTTGACCGTGGCTGCCTTTGGGGGTGGGGCCAGGAGCACAGCTCAGCCTTAAATGCTATCTCCTCGTGGGATATTTATAAGTTTACCACAAGTGCATATTGTTGAATAAGAAAAACAGGTTTTTAAAGCACATCCTGTTTTGAATGCAGACACTAAGGGACAGTGGGAAACGTGAGCCATTGCTGTGTGGTGGTTCCCTCTGTTCACAAACGTCTATGGCTTGTGCAAGAACTCCTGACAGTTCTCCAAACTCCAGTCCCAAGGCCAAGGCTGCACCCTCTGCAGAAGGCTGAGAGTCGGGGCCAGGCCTGAACACAGCTTCCCAGAGCCCCGGGGAAAGGGGATGGCCCTGAGTATGGCTGGGGCCCTCGCTGACCTTGGCCCATGCCCTGCAACTGTGGCTCTGAGGCCTCTCAGTGGAAGGCTTGGTGGCCTTGGTCTGGGGCTCCTCCGAAGACTGGTGTCCGGCAAGATCTGGGCTTGCCCCCAGGCAGGGGATTCGGCCATGATCCAGGAGGCTCAGCCCTGACTCAGACCCTGATAGGGGCCCTTTAGGAATAGCACAGCATGAGGCAGAGTGCACCTTTCCGACCAGGCACAGCAGGGAGTTGAGGGATAGCCCCAGACCTCCTGTCCACTGCTGACCACACAGTTGGCTCTGAGCCCTGGGGGCAGGCCCTGGCCTGACTCAATTCTTGGGATGAAAGACGACAAAGCAACACAAGGCACGAGACTCTTGGCAGTTGTCACGGTCCTGTTGTCACATGAGACTTGAGGACAAGTGCCTCTTGTAGCCACAGCACAACAGCATCCCTAGTGGCCTGAGAAGGTGGCACCGACCCTTTGCAAGATGTCACCCCCAGAGACACAGCACTTTGAGGCCAGTGCCTCCTCAGCAAGTGTCCAGTGACGAGTGTGTGCCTTGGCCACTGGTGGGAGCTCAGGACACGGGCCCTCCAGCTGCCCCGGCCCTGGGGACTCAGGTTTCTCCAACTGCCCTTCCTGATGTGTGGCTCTCCTCTTCCTGCCATCCCTCCACAAGGACCTCCTGCTTGTCCAAGCTCCCTCTTCAAGGTCACCTTGAGGCTGAAGGTGTCAAGATTACATGAAGCACTCTTGCACCCTAAGGGTGCACTCACTTGCTCACAGGGTTTGCACCCACGAGCTCCGTGCAGCGCACTGGTGGGTGACAGCCACCTTTCATATATGCCTTCTCCACTGGCTGTGCTTGCTCAGAGGTGGTGGCAGGTGTTCAGGTGGACTCCAGGAAGTGACCACAAACAATACAGGTCCCAGCAGCCAGTCCCTGGAGCATCCTGGGCATCCTGCTGGGGAACCCGCAGCAGCTTTGGAGACAGCCTCAACAGTGGAAAAACATTTTACAGCCTGGTCGAGTGGCTCATCCATGGAGACAGCAGGTCAGCAAGGCACCGGTGAGGGCTTCCGCTCCAGCACTGCCACCACACAGGCTGGGGTGCATCCTCTGCCCTGCCCCAGCCAGGCAGGGTGGGTAGCAGCCATTTCCCGGGGACACTGAGCTCACTTGGTCACAGGGCTCCTCAGCAGCACTGGAGCAGGGGTCCATCCACTGTCCACATCTAAACCACTCAGAGACCAAGGTCATGCCCATCAACCTTGCCCTAAATGGTACTTTCTGTTTATGAAAAGGGAACGTTTTCATGAAAATGTTTAAAACAGAACCAACTACTTTGCAGAAAGTGGTCTGACCCCATTTTTCCTGTAAAAAGTCATAGGGCATTGGAGTGGATCCTGTGTGGTGAGCTGGATTATGGCTCCACGCTTGCTTCCTCCCAGGGACTTCTGCCCACCCGGCCAGGGGCCCCGGCAGGGCCTCCCACCCATGGATGGCCAGTTGACTTGCTTTGGTTGATGGCATGTGAGCAGATGAGATACAGCAGAGACTCAAAGCTAGTGTGGCTGGCACCCCTGCTCCCACCAGGAGACAAGCATCGCCTAGCCAGCCAGATGGTCCCCGGAGAAGAGAGATGCATGCAGCAGAGCAAGCTGCCCGGATGGCCCGGCCCCGCGGTGCTGACCTCGGGGTACCTGGAGATCGGGAGCTTCTGTGCGTCCTGTTTTAACCACTGTGGCAGCACCGCTGTGGCTGCCGCTGACTGACCCATCCTACCCATTTCCCAGGTACAGATTTCGAGGCCAGGAGAGAGGGGCCTTCCCTGAGGACAACAGGCAGAATGGGCACCTCAGGCTTGATTTACTCAGACCTGAGGGAACAGCAGGGTGCCCAGGACCCCCCCCTCAACCAGCCAGCTGGGCCCTGCTGCCCCAGCCGGCAGCCTTACCTGCACTCCCAGGGGAGCAGTCCTCGGGGTAGGTGGGCGCCTTGGGGAAGAGGAGGTCGTGTCCGCCGCGGCTGCAGCTCTCCTGGCAGCTCTCGCTGAGCAGGCGCCTCAGCATCTGGTTCTCCTTCATGAGGCGCACCTGCTTCTTCAGGTCTGCGTTCTCGCTCATCAGCCTGTTCATCAGCTCGCTCCCCTCAGCCATGGTCACGTCCTCGGTGCTCACGTGTGGGCCCGTGGCCCCATGGGGGTGGAAATCCAGAGCCCACGGCTGCTCCAGGGACAGCCTGAGACCCCGGAGTTCCACGGCCGCCCGGCCTTCCGCAGCCTTGTGATGTCGCCCTTAAAGCGGCGGTGCCCCGGCCCGGTGGCCCCCAACCTCCCCGTGCAGGTGTCTGGGCCGCGCCCACCGGCAGACGCAGAGGCAGCAGAGGCCAGCGCCCACAGAAGGTGCAGCAAACACCTCATGCCAAGTGGGGGTGCCAAGGAGAAGACAGGGAGGGATGTGAGGAGAGGGGACTGGACAAATTCTAGATGGTGCTGAGACACTCATGGGGAGGGCTGCCCAGCAGAGGGCACAGCACATGACAAGGCCTGAGACAGGAATGTTCTGGCGCATTCTGGGAACAGCCAGAACACTGGGCTGAGGAGGGTGTCGGCCGTGCTGTGTGGTCTGCAGACCTAGGGGGTCTCCACCTTTGCTCTGGGTGACCTGTGGAGCTGCCTCCACCATGTGCCATCGACCCTCCCACAGCAAGGGAGGCTTCCCAACTCAGAAGCAGGCAGGTCAGGTCCCCCAGAACCTGGGCAGGTGTCTGGGGTGCAGACATTTATGAGGGCACCCCCTGGGATGCACACTTGAGGAAGGAGGGGCCGTGAGGGCAGAGGGAGGCGAGCTGGGGGAGGGCTCAGAAGGGACTGGCATTGGAGGCCACCTGCTGACCTTGTTCCCCTCGTGAAAAGGGTCCCAGCAGCACGTCAGCATCCCGACACAGACCACAATCCCTGAGTGTCTGAGACCCTGACCATGAGTGGACCCAACTGAAGACCCCCGGCCAGGGCACGTGGGCCGTCAGGACCAATCACACACAGACCTGTGGCTCCTGGAGTCCTACCAGAGTGCGGATTTCAGTCCTCGCTCAGTGTGACCACCATGCACCCCACCCCAACTGCCCCCTCCTCCAACTGACGACTCAGGAAGGTAAATAAACTCAGTGCTGTTTTCTGGCTATAGAGGTCTTGGTTGTGCTTTTTGGCAGCTGCAAGGTGAAAGATGGGTCATCTCCTGAGCCTCATGAGAAGGGACATAATCCAAAAATGGAAGCAGTGTGTTCTCCATCCCCTTCAGGCCCGATGCTTGGGGCTTCCCTGCTCCGCAGGAGGGTCACCTGGGGTGCAGGTGGTGGGCAGAGGTGGCTCTAAGCAGAACAAAGCCTTGGCTTCTCCAAGCCTGCCCAGTTAGCATAATGTCGCTTTGAGGAAAGACAGCTTTGAGCCCGGCTTTGGGGAAAAAGATCTCTAAATCCCAAATGTCCCTTACACATCCAAAGACAGACCAGTGTCTGGACCCACAGGCTCTCACGTCAGACAAGGGCAGCGGGAATGGGCAGCACCCACCGAGGAAGGGTGCACAGGAACTTCCAGGACCGAGGGCAGATGGCCCCACCCCCAGACTCGGAGGACAAGGCCAGTGGGCACGCGAGTGGCTCCCCGCCGCCCCCCCCCCCGGCTCCTCCTATCGTATTTAAAATGCCATTTCTTTCCTACCCCAAGAAAACCCTCCCAACATCATATGCCCTCCAGCAAATAGACTGTCGGCATTCTGCCAGTTTTCTGGTCATGACGCACTATCCTTCTAATATATCACTGGATTCAACTTACTGTTATTTTGTTGTCTTTTCTGTGTTCGTGAGGGAAATTGATCTGTCTCTCCTTCTCTTGTAATGTCTTGGTCTGGTTTTGCTATCAAGGTCATATTGACATTACAAGTTGAGTTGCAAAGTGTTCCCTCCTCCTCTGTCTTCTGGGTGTTTGTGTGAGAATGATATTTCTTTCTTAAATGATTGATAAAATTCACCAGTGAAGCCATCTGGGCCTTGAGTTTTCTTCTGGGTAATGTTTTTAATTTCTAATTCAATTTCTTGGATAGATATAAGGCTATTTAAAATTTCCATTTCTTCTAATTTCCGTGTAGATAACACCCATGTCTTGAAGAACGCATCCATGTCGTCCATGTTGTGGAATGCTGGCATCTAGTGGTTCACGACATTTCCTTATTAGCCCCTCTGCCTCTGGACAAGCAGATCCAGCCAAGGCAGAAAACCAAAATATTCATATTGCCATGCAAGCAGGGCAAGTGGGAGCAGTGTGATCCAGATGAAGATGGCAGGCTCGGCAGGACAAGTTGGACTATGTCTGCAGGATCTGTAGTGATAGATCCTTTTTTTTCATCCCTGATATAGGTTGTTTTCTCTTACTTGATCAAACTAGAGGCTTGTTAACTTTCTCAAAGCATCACGTTTTGGATGCATTGATCCTCTCCATTATTTTCTGTAACACTGATGTCTACTCTTTTATCTAGTATTTCCTTCCTTCTACTGACTTTGGTTTTAAGATGCTTAAGGGGGACACTTGGATCATTGATTTTAACCTGATTGCAGCCTTCAAATGAAGCCTGTAAACATTTCTCCAAGCACTGCTTTACTACATTCCACAAATTTTGATGTCATATTTTTATTTTCATTCACCTTGAAATGTTTTCTAATTTCCCTTGTGCTTTCATTTTTGACCATAGGTTATTTAGAAGTGTATTGTTTAATTTCCAAATATTTGGGATTTTCTAAATTCTTACTGATTTCTAATTTAATTCCATTGTAGTCAGAGAATACATTCTATGGTTTCAACCCTTTTGAATTTCTTGAGACTGGTCTCATTAGCCAGCATATGGTCTATCTTAATGAACGGTCCACAAGTCCTTGAAAAAAATGTTAGGTGAAGTGTTCTATAAATGCCAGTTACCTCAAGTTGGTTGAAGATTTTGTCTACAGTTGCTGAGAAAAGTATTGAAATCTCCCACTTTATTGTGAATGTGTCTAATTCTCTCTTCAGTTCCACCAGTTTTTGCTTCATATATTTTGAAGCTCGATCGTTAGGTGCACGTACATTCAGGTTTGTTGTCTTCTTGATGAACTAACAATTTTGTCATTAAGTCTCTTTATTTCTGGTACTATTTATTCCTTTTCCTGAAACTACCTTGATATTAATATAGCACTTTTGCTTTCCTATTAGTGTTTTTGTTATATATTTCTCTAAACCTTTACTTTTACCCTGTCTACATCATTATACTTAAAATTTCTGGGGCCAGCCCCGTGGTGCAGTGGTTAAGTTCACGCATCCAGTTTCAACAGCCCAGGGTTCGTGGATTCAGATCCCAGGCGCAGACCTACACACCTACACAGTGCTCATTAAGCCATGCTGTGGCAACATCCCACATAAAATAGAGGAAGACCAGCACAGATGTTAGGACAATCTTCCTCCCACTCACACACACAAAAATAGAAAAAATTAGACTGATGTAAAAAAAAATTCATATGGAGAACATAGATGGGTCATGCTTTTTCATCCAGTGTGACAATCTCTGCCTTTTAACCAGTGTGCTTAGCCTTGTAGAGTTAATAAGGTTCTTTAAATGGTTGGTTATTAGTCTTCAAGGGCTGCCATAGGAAACACCACAGACTGGGTAGCTTAACAGAAATGTAATTTCTCACAGTTCTGGAAGCTAGAAATCCAAGGTCCAGGTGTGGGCAGGGCTGTTTTCTCCTGGGCCTCTCTCCTTGGTGTGCAGATGCCATCTTCTCCATGTGTCCTCACACGGTCTTCCTCTGTGTGTGCACACTCCTGATGGGTCTCTTTCTCCTTATAAGGACACCAGTCCTATCAGATTAGGGCCCCAACCTTATGAACTCATTTAATTTAATTCTCTCATTAAAGGCCCTACATCCACATGCAGTCACATATGAATTTTGGGGGACACATTTCAGTCCATAAGAGTTGGGTTTAAGTTTATTATCTTGTTATTTGTTCTCTGTGTGTCACATCTGTTCTTTGTTCTTGTTTTTCTTGCCTTCTTTTGGATTATTTTACCTCCTTTATTAGTTTACTAGATATACTTCTTTTTTAACTTAGTGGTTTACTCCTGGGTTTATAATAAGTTTATTTATCACAGTCTACCTTTAAATAATGCACTTCATGATGTACTACTTCACATAAGAGGCAAGAATCTCACAGCAGTATACTATCCTCCAACATCCTTTCTGTGATTGTTGTCGTATCTTTTACTTCTCCTTATGTTGCAAGACCATTCCTATTTTTGCTTTTAAACGTTATATTTTGAATAAATTTTTTTAAATGAAGTGTGAAAAGCCTTCTATACTTATCACATGCTTACTGTTTCTGGTGCTCCTCATTCTCTGGTGAAGATGAGTCTATATCTGGAGTCACTTCCCTTCAACCTAAACAACTTAACATTCCTTGTGGGGCAAGGCTACTGGGAAATTCATTCAGCTTTGGTTTGTCTGGAAAAGGTCTATTTGCCTTCATTTTTGTTTTTGTGAACATGGAATTTTAAGTTAACCAGTTTTTTTCTTTCAACACTTTGAAGACGCCCTTCCATTGTCTTCTGACTTGCATTGCTGCTAATGAGAAGTCAGCATCATCCTTATCTTTGTTCACCTGTTTGTAACGTTTCTGTTTTTCTGCTTAACTCTTATTCATCATTGCTTTTCATCAATTTGATTATGACATGCTTTGGAGTGGTTGGTCTTGTTTTTTGGTCCGTGTGATTATTCTGCATCTGTCTGCTGGGCTTCATGATCTGTGGGCATATACATTTCACATTTGGGACATTTCAACCATGACTACTTCACATGTTTTTCTGCTTCCATCCTTCCCCCTTCACTGGGACTCCAATTATACATGTTAGACCACCCACTACGATCCAACAGGTCACCGAGGCTCTGTTCTTTTTAAATCTTCTGGCCACCCACAGGCCATTTCAATACTCGCTTACTCCTGGATGGCCCAAGTGCAGACCATGCTCCTCTACCCAAGAACCACAGGGGCATCAGGGAACATGGTCTCAGGCCCACTGCATCTCACACTCATAAAAGGCCTGGCTGTGGGGTAGGTGTCTGAGGCTGCCTAAAGCCATGTAAACCAGCTGTTCCTGACTTGTCTCAAGCTTGGGTGTCAGACACCCCTTGGGGCAGTGAAGGCTGGAAATCATCTGCTATCAATAATAGTCACCATAAACTAATAGTTGAATTATTTTCACTAAAGAAAATAAGTAACCTGATGTTATCCATATCACCACCATCCTCTTGAGTGAGGAAAGGGGGTCTTTGAGACAACACCAGAAATTCCAAGTGAAAATGCCAGGCATGAAGGTCACATGTCCTCGAGGGGAGCCCAAGTTCAAGAAGTGCTGCCCCAGCGTTCCTAGTAAATTTATCCAGCTCTCCAGAGTTGCATCCTCAGCTACCCATGAGGGGCTTCTCTTGTGGATTCTGCTGTGACCAGATGTCCCATGGAGAGGTGTAGTGAGGAACAGCCCAGACACCCCCTTTCTTATGAGACCCACCCCCACAATCAGTGAGATACACATCTCCTAAGCTACAGGGGTTTTGTCTTACACTCTGAATTTTCCTCTCCAGCTGCCTCCCAGGAAGTTGAGCACTAAATTTGGAGGCCAACAATAGCAAATTAATCAGAACCCCTGGCATGTATCTCATGTCCTAACATCCCTCCCAATCCCATCTGATTTTCCTGCCTTTCTCCCTTTGCCTCATGTTTCTAGCCTTAATTCCTTTTTGAGACAAAGTGAATTACAAATAAAAACTTAGACTGCAGATGGAGATAAAAATAAGTCAAGCTGACCAGTTAGCCTATAATTATTATAATAGCTGAGAGATGAGTGAATGAAGAAGCAACAGTAGGCAGCATTAATTTTTAAAACATTTTTATTGCCTAAATAAAATTTAAATCTATGTAGCAATATTGATTATGTTCAGTAAAGAAAAGTATTTTCTTAGAGATAAGTTTCCATTGTGAGTTAAGTATTTCCAGTTAGAGAATTCCTCAAAGGGTCATCTGAAGTTCACATCATGGTGAATACAGAAAACCTAATATGGCTCCAGAGAAACTTTCCCATAATATTCAAAATCTGTTCCCAATAACCAAAAAGAAAATAATTTGAATTGTTATCCAGGATAGAGAACGTGATTCTTAATCAGGTTGAAGCAAATATTTTCCCCTGAAATAACTGGAGACTCATCCTGCTTATCTTCAAGGAGCTACTCTAGCTCCCTGAAACTGAGGAAGTGGTGGGCCCGCGTCCAATATGATGCCCAAGTGAGTCTCAGAAAACCCCGGATCCAAGACTGATCCCAGGATGAGACAAAACACAATCAAGCCCTGCTCCTGTTTCAGGAAATCAAGTGTCTGTTTACCAGGGGAGCTGGTCAAATAAGTGACTTTCAATAACATTTTCAGTATTAAAGCAAATTTCCATTTCTTTTCCAGGAAATTTGTTTTGTCCAGTGACCTTGCCATGCCCAGGGGCCTTCCAGGGGCAGAGGCCACTGCAAGGAGCAGACATGGTAAAGCACCGTCTGTGCTGCTGCTGCCCAGCTGGGGTGCACATGGCCAAGAAGAGAAGTGTGGGGGCAAACCAGCTGACTGATCCCAACAAGGTTCCTTCAGCCAAAATAAGCCTTGTTTAAAAACGTCTGCGGAAAAGTGCTGACATTCGACAGGCACCCACTGAACCCCGCTACGTGCCACACAGTGGCAGCCAGTGGAGCCGGGGTCCTGCCTGTATACATGTGACCTGGCCCTGCAGGGCTCAGAGCAGACAGCAGCACCACCATGGGGCAGGAGGTCAGTGGAGGAACAGCTCAGGCAAAGGCCCTAAAGCAGGCAAGCCCCAGGGAGAGTCAGGACAGTGCCCAGGGGCCACATGGTGCAAAGCCTCAGCGTGGGCCCTGAAGGGTATGGGCAGGGAATGACAGGGCAGAAGGGCATCCAGGCGGCTCTCTGGCTGTCTGAGGGCAGACAGTTGGCCAGGGGCTGCTGCCAGTCCAGGAGGTAACACAGAAGATCAGCCAACGGAGGGGATGCTGGGTGGGTGAGAAGCAGGGTGGGGCCCTGGGAGTAACGCCAGCCCTGGGTTTTATTCTCATCAAAGCTCCTGGTAACTCCTCACAGCCACATTCCCAGGGAAGCCCTGGAGATCTGAGCCACTCATCCTCGTAGCTTAAAGGCAAATACAGGACCTGGGTTTTCCATCTTGAGCCCCAAGATCATGCATGCCAGGCCAGACAAATTTAGAAGCCAGGGGGAATTCAGAGGTTTACCACCCAAGAGGCATACGCGCCAAAAATCTGGCCCTGATTTGAGCTCAGAGCACAAACTAGGGCATGAGGGTGGGCAGCAGCTGTGAGGGTGCCCTGGGCTGTCACAACTGCCTGGCTGGCTGTGGTGGCTGGTGAGCGGCAGGCTGGGGTGTTCAGCTGTCCCTCACACACAGCAGTATCCCACAGTGGTAACCACTGAACTGCTAACGACCTCTCTTCCTTTGTTACACTTGGCCTCCCACGTGTATTTCTGTCATTACAAGAAGACTACAAACTCAGGAGGTAGGGGTACTGGTGCCCCACAAACTGGCTGAACCGTGATACAGCGTGGGCGAGCTCGAGCTCTGGGGCAGGGTCAGCGTGCCATGTCTAGCTCCCCGCCGTGCAGCCACAAGACACTCAGCAAGTCTAGTCCCTGTTCCTTGCCAAGCCCTGGGTGGCCAGGTGAACAGGGAAGCCCAGCCTCCCCCCACCAGGCTGTTCAGAGAAGCCAGTACATCCCTTAGCCCAACCGACAGAAGGCACAGGAAGAGGCGGCCTGGGGGCAAGCCCAGCCCAAAACCAGCACCAGGCCGGACATGGATGAGGCACAACTGCTCATCTCCCCAGAACTCAGCGACTGGTCAAGAGGCCCTCCGAGCCCCATATCCATGGTGAGAACAGGTACCACGCCTTCTCCGGTGTCGGTTCATCTTGTTCCTTTCCTCACCTGAGCCCAACAAGCTATTCTCAGAACTAAACCTATGATGAAAATCAAGTGTCTAGAGCCACCAGCCCCACCTCTGCCACAGGCTTGGTCCCAGGCCTCACTCTTGTGCAAGTGGACAGTGAAGGGCACTGGACAGCTGGGCAGGGCAATGGGGGGCTCCACAGCCTGGCCAAGATGCCCAACCTTGCCTGAAACTTGCATGATGGCTGCTGCTCAGCAGCCCCACCGGATGCCTGTGCCCAGCTCCCCCCCCCCCCCACCAGGCTCCCACAGGTGTGCTCTCAAGGGTGGCCGACAAGGCCACTCTCAGGGTACAGGCGGGAGAAGCGGCCGAGGACCCAGATGGGGAAGACGTTCCTGTAGCTCGTGTAGTGGATGGCACAGGACTTGTTGAAGACCCCATTCATGTTGTCCTGAAAGGACACAGGGAAATAAACACAGAGCCTCCAGCAAGCATCTGAGAGGCTCCCTGAACCAAGACCCTGGCTGGAGGATTGGCCGGCTAGGGGGACATCAGGGCAGGAGAGCCTCAGCAGGCGGTCCTCCTGCCCTGCATCAGTCACAGTGCCACCATCCCAGCCCTCAGACCCCTGGCCCTGCAGCAAACCCTTCAGCCTGGGTGACCAGCCCCTCACAGCCACATCAACCCCTGACTCATCCAAGAGGAAAGGGTCAGCTTCATGTAACCCTGTGCCCTCATGCCCCCAGGGACAGGCGGAGTCTGCCTCCCACACTTCTGCATAGTGAGGGGCCATCCGGCAGAGCCCAAAGATGTCCTGGCCTGTGGCCTCTCCCCGTCCAGCTCTTCCCCAGCACCACTAGCCCTGCCCCAAGCCAGTGCTCCACATGCAAACAGTTCAGGACCTGGGGACCTGACCACCCATCACAGATTTGCTTCTAACACAGCCCACTTGCTGGTAGTGTTTATGAATCTCAAACTCCCAAAGTTAAAACCCTACCTATAAGCACCGCATGAGGGACATGCGGGCACGGTGGGACGTGAAAATGTTTGTGCAAACTGAGGTCAGTGCTGGGCCTTGAGCTCCTCAGACCCCTATAGCATACCTGGGGCCAGTCGCCATTGGGGAGCTGTTTTCTAAGCAGACAGCTGACTCCTTTCTCCAGGGCCGCTACACCAGGATGCCTGGGGGAGGAGGCATTGAACACGCCCATCAGCTCTCTGGATGAGACCACCTCTGGCTGCAGCCAAAACTGTGTCCTCACCTGCATGCAGCCACACATGAGGACACAGATGGAAAAACTGTGTCAAGATGAACAAACCTAAACCGACATACATGTCAGGAACGTCAGAACACTAAGGCCCTCCCCGGCTATCTTCCCAGACACCCTGAGAGGGGAAGACATAGCGAGTATGGAGGTGAACAGGCCAGTGGGGAGCCCCATAAACACGGCCAGGTGAGGCCCTGCCCGCAGAGACCTGCCCCAGCGGCCCCTGCCATGAGGTTCTGCCCTTCTGCTCCCTACCAGGAGGAGGCCAAGCCCTGTGCCCACCCCACCCCACTGGCCCTAGGGGCCCTTTGAGGGTCACGAAAGCCACATGTGCTAATCCTCGATCATCCTGGCAAGGGATGAGACACCGGAAGGATCAAGGGTTCAGGATGGAGTACGAGCAAGCTTGGCTGTGGGAGGTAGACTGTGGGCTGGTCCCCGACACCCCGACCCTGGGGGCCCCCCAGAGACTCTGCTCCTGCTCCTGCTCACACTGACCTGGCCCAGCTTTGAAGGAGTTTTAGGAAGATTCCCAAAATGGCTCCAAACCCAACAGGGCAGCACTGACTGGGACACTATGCAGGTATGTGCACATATCTGTGTGCCATGCCTCACACTGTTCACCACCTCATCTCCCTGCTATCACTGTGGGGTCGGCCTCTTCTAAAAGGTGAGCCTCTTGGCAGGACCCACTTGTTGGGACAGACCTCCCACCCTGCCCCAGGAATCAACCTATGGGTGTGGCCCTGCAGGCCTCGCCTCCTCCCACCCCTGCACTCAGAGCTTGGCTGTCCGCACCCCACCAGGGCACCAGGCTCAGTGTCCCGTCTTCACCTGACCCCATGGCTCAGGAACTGTCTCGTCGCCCCCACCTGACAGCCATCAGACCCATCAGGGCCCAGCATGTGTTGTGGATCTGGGACTCGGCACTCTGCACATAACACCGCTGCTCACAAGACTCAAAGTTCTCCCCCCAGCCTCCGTCCGCCATCTGCTGGGACAGCAAGAAGTCGCAGGCCCGGGAGACTTCTGTACAGGCAGCCCTGTAGGGACCAGCAAGACACGAGACACCATCACACTGGGGAGGATCCTGGGCCCCCTGGATTCTTGCCCTGGCCAGGCCTCCTTGGGGTCGAGGGGAAGGGTGCGTGGGGGGGCAGCCTGCACTCCATGTGATGTGAAGGGCAGAGAGACACCTGCCTCCCAGGGTTGTTGGGAGGATAAAGTTGTAGCTGCAGACGGCCTCTCTGACGTGACCACCCCACTAAACATCTGCCTGGCAGCGCAGAGCTGTGTGAGGCAGCTGCAGACGGCCCAGACCTGTGCCTCCTCCCTCCTCTCAGCACAGGTCAGGGAGCTTCGGAGAGCAGTGAGGCAGCACCTCAGCCAAGCACCTTTAACACACACAGGTGCTACCAACTCGTGAGGCAGGAAAAATTTTCAACCTGGTGAGTCATACGTTTTCTGGAATACTCATCTTAGCTACTGTTTAAAAAAATGTAGGGGCCAGCCCCATGGCCGAGTGGTTAATTTCATGCGCTCTGCTTCGAAGGCCCAGGATTTTGCCGGGTTCGGATCCTAGGCACAGACATGGCACCGTTCATCAGGCCACGGTGAGGCGGTGTCCCACATGCCACAACTAGAAGGACCCACAACTAAAATATACAACTATATACCGGGGGGATTTGGGGAGGAAAAAGAAGAAGAAAAAAAAAAGACTGGCAACAGTTGTTAGCTCAGGTGCCAATCTTTAATTAAAAAAATTTTTTTAAAAAAGTAAAAACACCCCCAAATCAAACATCACAGAAAGAAACACCCCCAGGGGAGCATTATACTGGGAAGACTCCCATCCCGCTGGGGGCAAATGCCTGCACTCACCCGTCGCGGTAGGTCTGCCCCATGCAGGCGAAAGCTTCCAGCCCAAACCAGGTGCCATAGGTGAAGCAAACCCCCCAGGAGCTAGAGGAAGACAAAGGGGAAACGGAGCCTCAGCTCTCTAGTTCTCGTCAGAACGGGCGTGCACAAGGGTGGGCTTGCGGCAACACCCTTCAGCATGGGCCATGCCGTGGTTTTCAAGAAACACATCCACATGGCCTCAGCAGGCCACACATACTCCAGTGCCTAAGCTTTAAGGCCACATAAGACAGACCTGCCCAACCTGGCCCTCAGGGTGCAGCTCCATCTGCTGGAACCAACAGGCAGATAAGAACTGGCCCAAACCCAGAGGAAGGAGGTGAGTAAGCACAGACACAACAATAAGGCATCGGGTACCCATCCCTTGGCCAGACCACTTTTAGCACCATGCTCAGCAATGACCACAGGGTGAAGGCCAGGCATTCAAAAAGGAACAGGCCCACCAGCTCA